ATTTTTGTCTGCAGGAGTATGAGAACAATTTGTTCCTGCAATGTGATAAATGTAGAATGATGGTATTGCTCATGATCTGAGTTTTTTAAGCTATCATATATCTCATGGATGTATACTCTATAGTCCTTATGCTCTTTCTTTCTCTTGGGTATGACTCAATTTGAATTTCTGGTCTACGACTAGGTCCATGCTAAATGCTATGGAGAGCTAGAACCCTGTGATGGTGCTTTGTGGTTATGCAACTTATGTCGTCCTGGTGCTCCTGATATAACTCCACGGTGTTGTCTTTGTCCTGTAGTAGGTAATTCTACCGTACCATTTGTTGTATGGAGTTATGTGCTTTCATTAGTTAACAATTGTAAATTCTTCTAGGCGGTGCTATGAAGCCGACAACTGATGGAGGGTGGGCTCATCTGGCTTGTGCTATATGGATCCCAGGTTTAATCTTAATGAGTTGTTGTTCTGTATTAGTCTGATCTCTACTGAATAATTGGCTGTAGTACTTTCCTTTTTACAAATTAACACTTGTTATTTTATCCAGAAACATGTTTATCTGATGTCAAGAAGATGGAACCGATTGATGGGGTGAATAAAGTCAGTAAGGTATGTACTCATTTCCTTTCAGTTTCCTTTACCTTGGTACTGTGGGCTTTTCAAAACTCTTATTCCTCCCTCTTTCCTTACTCTTAAAACTAGGATCGCTGGAAATTAATGTGCACCATCTGTGGGGTATCTTATGGAGCTTGTATCCAAGTAAGATTTTGTTCTATGTTAATAGAACTGAATCATTCTTATGCATTGTGTTCCTATTCACATAGAAAATTAATCTAGTTGAAATTGCCTGACAAAAATGCTGCATAATTCCTTTTGGAGTTTCTATTGCTTCTGAAGTTGGTGACTATTACAGAAATATCAATTTATTCGATAATGTATGATACATGTTTAAAATCCACTTGACAGTAATGTGGAACCTATGAATTTTTTCAGCGCATATATATGGACTGTTTAACTCCCGTTCAGTCTCCTTATTGGTCTACTGACGTTACAGTTCTGTTTGGTAGTTATCTTGTGTATCCTCTTAATAATGGAATCTTGTCGCTACATATATCATTTAAACGACTGTGCATTCCATTTTTACAGTCAATGGCTACAAAGGGTTGAAATATAATTTAAAATGACTATATTTTCAGTGTTCGAACATTTCTTGTCGTGTGGCATATCATCCACTCTGCGCGCGTGCTGCTGGTCTCTGTGTTGAGGTACTTTCCATATCTTACAGGGAATCAGAAAATTTCGCATTCACACTTATGCACATGTATTCAAACACAGAAAATCCACAAAATAGATGTTTCTTACTGATTATGGCTTTCCTGACTGTCCATGTAGCTTGAGAATGAGGATAGACTTTTTCTTTTATCCGTGGAGGATGAAGAAGCAGATCAGTGTATCCGCATGCTTTCATTCTGCAAGAGGCATCGACAAACATCAATTGCCTGCCTAGGATCAGAAGACAGGATCAAATCCGTTACTCATAAATCTTCCGAGTATCTCCCACCACCTAATCCATCTGGCTGTGCTCGAACTGGTATGTAGCTACATGCTAGGATTAAAATTTTGATTCACCCCAAACTTTTGTGATAGGATTGTTTTCCTCATATTTCTTTAACCTCGCTCGCATATGGCCATTTGTTTTGTTAACTTTCATGTTCTTACATATCCTCTTAACATAGTAATTTCTTAGTTTCTATACAAACATCTTTTTGTATTTGATACAAATTTCGTCTCATGCATTTTATTCATGTTTTTTTTCCAACTTTTATTTGTGTTTGCATCCTATGAGTCAGTCTAAATGATTATTTTGACATAATTTTTGTGTATTGTTGCAGAGCCTTATAATTGTTTTGGCAGAAGAGGGCGGAAGGAACCTGAAGCTCTTGCGGCTGCTTCTTCAAAGCGGTTATTTGTTGAGAATAAGCCATATGTTATTGGTGGTTACTCTAGTCTTGAATTTTCAACTGATGAGTCCGTTCGCGGGTCCAAGGTGTCGCAGATGAATACGCCAAACAACATTCTTTGTATGGCTGAGAAATATAGATACATGAAGGATACATATAGGAAGAGATTAGCATTTGGTAAGCATTGATTCTTCCTTAAGTTCCGCGAAGATTTAAAAATATAGTAGGATTTCTGTAAGATAAAATAATTTGTAGGCTTCCTTTCAGAATGATCTAGTCATAATCCTAAGCTTCTTTCAGAATCTTCTTTTCTCTGTGTTTTTCTTTTGGTTTGTTTTTAGGGAAATCAGGAATTCATGGTTTTGGCATCTTTGCAAAGCTTCCACACAGGGCCGGAGATATGGTGAGCATACCTTGAACTGGACATTTCATCTTTGGAAAGTGTCACTCATGAAAACATTTTATGATTCCTGTGCAGATGATTGAATACACCGGAGAACTTGTTAGACCGTCTATAGCTGACAAGAGAGAACGTCTTATATACAATTCATTGGTGGTAGGTATTTTTGACTTTACTAACTTTCTACATTTTTGTTGCTAGACGGAAGATTCAATAAACAGTAACCTGTACATTTATTTATCATTTATAACAGTAAACTTATGTATTTTTCTTACCTTTTGTTTTCTTCTTATTCGAGCAATATTCTTTCGTAGCATTCCCTTAATAGTATAAATATTGGATGCCAATGAGTTAATCAATATCTGAGGAAAAAAAACAAATATTTCTTATGTGATAGGGTGCAGGGACTTACATGTTTAGAATTGATGATAAGCGAGTCATAGATGCTACAAGGGCAGGAAGCATTGCCCACCTGATTAATCATTCCTGCGTGGTATGACTATTTGCTTATGTCCAATTTGGTTAGCATCTGCAAAAAATAACTAAGCATATTGCATTTACTCTTATGCAGCCCAATTGCTATTCAAGAGTCATCACTGTTAATGGAGAGGAGCACATTATCATTTTCGCAAAGAGGGATATCCCTAAGTGGGAAGAGCTGACCTATGACTATAGGTTTCAATTTTTATTCTCTTTAAATCATCAAAGATATTCTAGTCATACTTTCTACTGCTGCTGATCTTGTGATTTTCAGGTTCCTTTCAATCGGTGAGCGCCTCTCATGTTCATGTGGCTTCCAAGGGTGTAGAGGTGTTGTGAATGATACAGATGCTGAAGAACAACAGTCAAAAATCTGTGTCCCTCGTTGTGAACTAATAGACTGGACCGAATAACAGGTGACAAAAACTATATAGAAGGAGTTACAATCATCCCTTTATAAAGTTGTAGCTCCTCTCCTTACACTGAGAGCATATGTTGTTTAGTAGCTTTGCCACAGTCGATTATATTTTTTTGTACAGAGACTAATTAGTGAGTAGTGAGTAGCAACTACACCATTCATAGTGACTATTCTGTAAAGCCATTATATAATTCCAGGCTTGGTACTTAAACTTGAGTCCTTTTCACCCTATCAAAACCAGTGACCAACATAGGATCGAACTACTTGGGATTTGGAACCGCCGTCTCTCAAAAGACCGAAGACATTTCTGCCAATCTTGGATTGTTAGTGGTTGTTTTGAAATCTGAATCGGTTATTTAGCCATTTATCAAAAGTCAACCCGGTTTAGCGTCCTTGTCGTTGGAGGGGTAATTAGGGTAAATAACATATCCAAAATATTTAAAAGGTTTCTTCTGAAATTCGTTTCCCGCGGACTTGGGGATTTTCCAGAAAGATACTTATTACTAACTTACAAGAGAAGCAAACAAAAGAGAGAAAAGAAAAAAACAGAGGAGGCTGCGAGAGGAATGAGAAGGAAAGATATAGAGAGGCAGGTACCGATACCGCCTCAAAGTAGATGCCCTAGAGATGATTGTACCCTTCCCCGATGAAGATACTACTCTTCTTCTCAATCGCCTCCAGCAGATATCACGTACGTATTGCCTTGATTAGTTGATTCCCTCTTATATATGAATATGACTACCGATTCACATATCGTTGCGATTTCATTAAATGTTGCAGGCTCTGCTACAATCGATGAAGAATCAATTCTGAACGTGATTGAAGAAGCCGCAGATGAATTTACCACGACTCTAAATTCCTTGGCGGTCATCGACGACGTATTTCTGGTGCCAAAATATCGATATGATGGTGTTAATAAGCGGTTCATCCAGTAATAAGTCTTCTGCTTTCTTCTGTTATTAAGACTGTGTCAGTGCGTTTCTAAAGATGAGATCAGTTGATAAATTAGCAGGTATGTAGACGATAGAGCTTTTATAGATAAGATGAAGCAATGCTCTCTCGTGCTTTTGGTAGATGTCGATGTTGACGGCATAAAATAGCTTTGCACAGGGATTGAAATATATATTGTATTGATTCCAGGCATGAGAGTAATCTTACTGTTCAAGGTGAGGCTTGTGAACTCTCTATTGTTCATCATTATGGTTTTTTACTTTTAGTCTTCGGAATCATGAGGAACTTATAAGCTGCAGCAATGATCTTGTATTTGTAAAATGCAGGGTAAAGTTCTACAATAAGGAAAATGTGTTCTTCCGGCAAGACCTTCTGTATCGGATGAGCCGTTCATGCTTAATAACCCCTTCCTAAGGAGAAACTAATGACCCCTTTGAGCACGTAAACACATCTCTCGGTCTCCATTATTTTCCAACTTTTTGGTTTTTACAGTTTTTCGAAGCATCTGACAACTTGTGAATTGTATTGGTTCAGCTTGTCTCCGCATTGATTCATCAAAGCCATCTATGTCCTCTACCTCTCTTGGTTCAACTTATTATTTGGAACTATGATCACTGTCTTGGTTCAACTTATCGAGGATTCTCAATTGTGATTTTAAGCACAAAATTCATCTTTGGTATGCAGCAAATAACAAACATTCAGTAAAAAGATTATGCAAGCATATGAGTACATAAAAGGGCAAATTACACAAATATGAAAACGATAATTTAGAGGGCACATAGTAACCATAAACACTTCAACGTCTGGCTGTCCTTGTAGCTTTGAAAAATCTCTCTCTCAACGAGATTAACTCCTTTGTAGCTTCACTCACTCCCAATCGGTTCGTCGGAGATTCTTCAGCACACCGAAGCCCCACCTCAAAAATCAGCGTCAAACATTCAGCAGCAGGGAAACCAACTCTGAGACCATTGCCAAGAACTGATTCATCTACAATGTCCAACACTCGTTCTGGCAACGCGGATTTGATGTAGTTGTGGAGAG